AGAGAGAGAGAGAGAGAGAGAGAGAGAGAGAGAGAGAGAGAGAGAGAGAGAGAGAGAGAATAGCCCTACTGTGCTCTGCTATCGACGATACTAAGGGCCAACTCACACTAGGACTTTGTCTACTAAGCTATGGACGTGATTGCGGTCAGATTTATTTCGGTCAGAGAGAGAGAGAGAGAGAGAGAGAGAGAGAAAGAATAGCGCTACTGTGCTCTGCTATCGAGGCTACTAAGGGTCAACTCTTACTACCGGTAGGGCTTTCTCTACTAAGCTCTGGACGTGATCGCGGTCAGATTCGTCCAGGTCAATCCGTAATTGCGGTCAAATCCATTCCATTTAGGAAAGTGCTAGCATGGCCAGCCGCAGAGTTTGGCTAGGCGCTGCGGTGGCGGGCTCCACAAACGGACCTTGAGTGGGCGCGAAGCAGGCGGGCAAGTGAGAGCAGCGGCAAGTGCGGAGCCAAGCCGGCGGACATGGGCGCGCAGTGGTGAGGCAGAAGCTTCGGAGGCGCTGCGCGATGGTGATGGTCCTTCGTAGGCGGTTAGTTGCAAGGAGCAGGATCAGAGGATATGTTCGCCTCCTCCTCTTAGACTACCCTCTTCTCTCGAACATAACGCACCCTGACAATGAACGTATACAAGGTATGTAGGCGGCCCAATACAGTCAACAAAATGAGGGTGCGTTGTGTTCGGGGGAAGAACATGCTTTTCAACACCCCTCGTTGTAAACGTAGGTGGAGAAGGGTTATGCCCTTTGCTCCTGTTTTTTTTTTGTTTTTTTTTCAAGTCCATGGTGTGCTCCTGGCCGACCTCCCGGGTCAGAGGATTGTCAATCCTGGAGAAGAATCCTTGGGGCAGGTCATGGGTTCACAGGACCATAGGGGGAGGGACAGGCCGAGGAGAAGAGGGTCAAGTGGGGGTGAAGGGGTGCCGGCGGAGTGGGGGGGAGGTTTCTAGGCAATGGGTATTGACAGCCCGTAGTTTGTTTCGTTTTGGCTGTGGCGAGGCCCTGTTGTGTGTGTATGCGTGCGTGTGTGTGTGTGTGTGTGTGTGTGTGTGTGTGTGTGTGAGAGAGAGAGAGAGAGAGAGAGAGAGAGAGAGAGAGAGAACAT